GGATCAGAGTCAGTCTCTAACAGGGGACAGTATGCCTTTGAGTCTTTCAGCCATCCCTGGTAGGCTAGTGGTTAAGACGCAGCGCTCTTGCCGCTACGGCCTGGGTTTGAATCAGGGTTGCGTCCGAAAGGGCATCCGGTGTAAAACATGTGCCAAATGTCAACATGCGAGTCGTCAGTGTGACGATTCCCTGTGGCGACTGCTGAACGAGAAAAGCCGAAAGTGACTTTCTTTGAATCTTTCACCACATGCTTTACAAACACATGGCTTCTCACTTGTGTGATTTCTCACATGAACAGTCAGTGATGATAACTGAGTGAATCTTTTACCACAGGTTTTGCAAGCATACGGCCTCTCACCTGTGTGGATTCGTAAATGAACATACAAACTTGAGGATGTCATGAATCCTTTCCCATAAGTTTTGCAAGCATGGACTTACACGTATCCTGGTGCTATTGGCCATAAGTGTGAGCAGGCCAACCTCTGCTCACGTCAACTACTAAATATGCTAATCAAATGGTGTGTGGAGTGTTGTGATGTCAGGCGGTAGCTAACAAAAACACGAACATCTGGTCATCTTCAAAGTGCAGACATCCTGTTCATATGACTCAAATATTACACATTGACCCCATGACCTGAAAAATGTAATGATTAATTGAGTTTGTTTTAACACACTCTTACACTCTTAACGGTCGAAAATTAGAGAGAGAAGTTATTTAATGCAGCTTTAATTAATGTAAAACTTTGCAGACGCAGGGTCTTCTAATTGGTCACTGTACCATGTTCAGAAGGTAACAAAAATGCTAGAGTAAAAATTGAAATAGACTGTCCATAAATTAAACAAAACTTCATTATAAAACCAATAGTCCGAGATGCTAATGATTTAATGATTCCTTCTCCCTTATGTTTTCATGGAAGTTTTACAATAAGAAGCCAAACGGAAATCAGAGCAAGAGTGTAACGTAATTCACTCTGACTCATATTCCTGTGTTAGTTTAAGTTTCTCTGTTAGTTGTATGAAGATTATTCAGGTGTAACAGACCTATTCTGTGTAGCTTTACTTCTGGTTTGCAAACGATTCAGCAGTCTGTGCTGACAATCAATTTCCTCCTCGTACTCGACAACAGTTTTCTCAAAGGCTCACAATATTTCTTCAACAGCAGCAGTTAGTCGCTCGGTGACGAACTCTCTCAGACACTTAACTGAAGACATTGTTGATTTGCTACAACAAAATATTTATCTGCAACAGGTTTCACAACAATAAGGCCTCTCAAGTGTTAAACTGTAAAGATTTTTTTTTTTACCTGTGTGAGTGTCACAATGAGTCTCTGACATAGGAGAGTTATCTACACTGTTACTGTGATTTGTGTCTTTGTGACGTCTCCTCTTTGGCTTTGGCTCTGCATTACTAGCTGATCCTGAGTCTCCATGCTGGCTTCCTTCCTGATCCTGGCTCTCAGCTACAGCAGAGCTGCTGGTCACTGGTTGGTTCTGCTTCACTGTGGTCCCTTTCCTCATAAGTAGGAGTCAACATAAAGAGATTGGTCTCCTGCTTCAGTCCAAGCTGCTCTCCCTCCTGACTGCTGC